TCACAGATTAGACTGGTCATAGGCCTGCATTAGTGTTAAATTTGCTGATTTTGACAACTGTTATGGAAATGAATGTCCTTGATCTAAGAGACCAGACAGTGAAGTATTTAGGAGTAAAGAAATATAATGTCTGCAATCCGTTTTCAAATGGTTCAGAAAAATAACCATACGTATACATATATATAGACATGCACAAACGTAGAGCCAGCCCACACTGCCTCGGTGAGCAAATGTGGCAAGAGGTAAATCGGCACAACTGGTGACTCTGGGTGAAGGATATGGGGGACTTCTTGGCACTCTTCTTGCAACTTCTGTATACTTGTGAAGTTATTTCAAAATAAAGTTTTATTTAAGTAACTCAGCGAAAAGGAGTGAGAGCGTCTATGCAGCAGGCCTGGCGGAGCCATGAGTGCTATTCTGAGGTTGGGATCTTGGAGCCCCTTCCTGGAGCCCCCCTGCAAACCCAGCACTGGGTTAGGGGGGATCGGCTATCTCACTCAGCTTTGCTTCCCTGGCCTCTCACTCCTCCTTTCTGGGCCTCAGCTTCTTTATTTGTGAGATGAGGTTAGTGCTGCTGTCCCTTTAATGTTGATCTTGATTTCCAACAAGCAGGCTAAGCTTTCAGAAGTCGGGGGTGGGGTGGGGTTGGGGGGTTGGAACAGCTGATAAATCAGGAATATGAATGGTCAGGTTGAGAGGAGCCCAACAGAATTTGTTCACCAGAATAGACCCAAAGACTGTCATGGTCTCAGTCTTGGATGAAATCTCCAGTTTGTCTAACTTGGGGCCAAGGGAGCTGAACCCCTGGCATCTCAGCTGTCTGGAGACCCCTAACTGGATCCGCTTCTGTCCAAAGGAAGAAGCACTCATGCACCTTGTGGCCAGCACACTTCCAGGTGAACCTTCTGCTAGGACACAGCTGGAAAGTCAGCCAGGCCTGGGGTGCACCTGCCTCCCCTCGCCACCTCACTTGTCTCCTGTCTGGACCACCGGGACAGGAGACCACTTGGTTTCCCTCAGCCTCCCTGACTGTTCTCCTTCCCCCCACTCCCTGCAGGAGTTCCACCAGCTGCCTGTGGGGTCTCATAGGACTTAAATCTATTGTCCATGCCCCTACAGAAGGCCTGGGTTTCTGAGCAGGGCAATGATATCCCAGCCTGGGTGTTCTGCTGTGGCACCGAGTCAGGACATAGAAGCCGGGAGACCCCGGAATAAGCAGACCAATGGGTCTGGTTACCCTATGTATCTGAGCTACACCAGGCCTCACCAACTCTGGCAGCAATGTTCTGCAGGCTCTCTATTTCCGGTGCAGAAAGGCTCTCTCCCACAGCCCTCCCTCTGTGTCAGGAACAGGGACAGATCAATCCAGCTGTGCTGCCTCCGCTGCCTCCGCATCGGAAGTGCTGGGATGTGAAGACTCCCTGGCACTCCCAGCCGCAGTGGCCCTTTCTCCTGGGAAGGAAGGAGCTCCTGATTCCCGCTTCCGGCTCCTGGGCAATGATTAAAACTCGAGGAAAACAGGGGAGCCACAGCTCTAGAGGGCTCCAGATCTGGTGGCCTTTGGAGACCACAGGCAGTGGGAAGGGTGTCCTGAGTGTCCTAGGCCAGGAAGGCAGAGTGGGAAGTCTGTCCCAGGGGTCTACACCTGAACGCACCCGCACTCAGGCAGGCAGTCCTCTGTGGCTCATCCTGGGCTATAAATATTCATGCGTGTGCACATGCAGGATTATACATGTGCAAGGGCCTGCATGTATACACTTCTCATATCTGTTAATGCTAGCAGCGGTTGATATTAATCTATCGCTCATTGTACACAGGAAGGTCTGCGAGCTTTATGTATAACTCATGTAAGCCTCGCAATGAGGCATTATTTCATTATCTCCATTTTTTTTAGAAGGGAAAATTGACACCCAGGGAGCTACAGGGAACATACGCAAAGTCACAGCTAGGATTGGGATTTGAACCACGCTCTCACTCCTTATCACAGCCCTAACATTGCCTCCTTCTATAGATGCTCAGCAAATGTGTGGGGACTATACTGCGGGCACACATGCAAGAACAAAAAAAGAAACAGAGAGCAAGTGAGTGCGCCTTGAGAGCCATCCAGTCCTGCCTGGCATGCCCCACACCCTTTGTCAGTGCTTCCCTGACCTTCTCGTGCACAACATGAGAAGGTGTCCACAGGAGAACAAGCCAGAAAGGATGAGGTTGGACTTGGCTTACAGAAAGGGGCCCAGAGATGAGGTACAGTCAGACCATTTCTGGAGCTCTCCCGAAGGGTTTTCCTGCCGCTAGCCACCCCTCCCGTCCCCTACTCCGGGCTTCCCCGGTTCGGGGCCAAGACCGCCTTGGCGTGGCTTCGGGACTGGGGAAAAAGGAATGCTGCGCGTGGCCTCAAGTATTTGCCCCAGCCCCTGGCCTCCCTACCTCCCAGAACAGGCCCAGGGGCTCGGACAGCTTTGCAAGGAAGGGTCCCTGAGACACACTTTGTGTTGTTTCTGCTCAAACAGCCTTTGCTGCAAAGTTGGTCGAAGCATTTGGGTTTCAGTTTTTGGTTCAGAGTCTGCCAATGTTTTCATTTGGAAGGGGAAGTGTTTCTGTTGATGCAGGGAAGAGATAAAATAAGACATTCTTCACCGAGTTACACTGTCTGAAAGTCAAGCGCTTGGCTTGGAGGCAGAGATTCATCTTAGGATCTGAAAGGCCTAACACGGGGCCTGGTGGAAGAGCCAGAGACAAAGTTGGTTGAATGACTGAATGAGTGAATAGGCACAGGGCCTAGACCCAGGCATGTGCGATGATCAGTGCTCAGTCCAGGTTTTGACGGGAATTCCACAGATTTTACATTTTTACCGTTCTCGGTCTGTGTTTCCCTACCTTCAGCAACCTCGCCACTCAAGCCCCAGTCACCTCCAGCCTGAGCAACTCCATAGCCCCTAACAGGCTTCCCTGCTTCCACACCTGCCCCAACAGCCCATTCTGTCCACAATCACCAAAGTCATCTTTGCAAAATGTGAAATTGTGTCTTCTCCTGCTTAAAACCTTCTGATGGCTTCCCATTGCCTATGGCCATGGCCACGGCCTCCCAGGTCATGTATGGTCTGCCCTTGCCCTACCCCACGGACCTCTTCTGGGGCTGCTTTCCAGCCACACTGACCTCCTTTTGGTCGCTGCAAAAACCAGCTCTCCCTACCCCATAGCCTTGGCACTAGCGATTCCCTCTGCCTTGACTGGTTTCCCCCAAATCTTTCAGCCTGGCTCCTTCTACCAATTTAGGGCTCAGGTCCAATGTGTCATCTCCTCAGAGAGACCTTCTCTGATCCCCCTTTCTAAAGCAGCCCACCTCTATTCTTTCGCTTTGCTCACTCAACAGACATTTATTGAGCGCCTACTAGATGCCGGGCACTGTTCTAAGTGCTGAGAAAACAGCAAGAACTCAATGGGGATGCCCAGGGTCCTTGCCCTTCCCTTCTTCATGGTTCTCAAAAAATCTGATGATCTTGTTTGGAAATCTGCTTGTCTTTTCTCGCCAGGTGCCAGGAGGCCCACGGCTAAGTTTCTCTTGTTGACTGTGCTCAGTAAGCATTTTGTTCAATCAAGGAATGTACTGATGGATGGATGGATGGCAGGTAGGTAGGCAAGCCGACTCGGCAGGCATACAGGACAGCCGACACACTCTCCACCTGGCACCTGGCTCTTGCTAAGGTCTCACTGAGCTCAAATGAAGCTTTTATCAAAGAAGTTTCACTGTCCACCTCCCAGGGGGATCCTGCAGTTCTCAGCACTGCAGGATCTGCAGCAGGTCCTGCCCTGTCCTGCTTCCCTCGGACTACGGTCATCTCGACAAAGACAGGCCACAGAGCAAAGGAGTTAACTCAGCCTGCTGAGTAACATGGTGTGTAAGTGGCATTAGTGTCTGTTTTCTAAAAATGGACTGCCACCTCAGTGTCCTCCCTTCACTGCCACTCAGGCCCTATGCCTAGTGACCCTGCACACAGTTCAGTGGAGGGCCTTAGCCAAAGAGTGCCTACACGTCCCATGAACCCTCACCAGACCCAACAGCCTGCCTACCTCTAACTCTCATCTTGTCCAGCTGCCTCTCTTCCTGGCTGTGACACTTTGGCCAAGTCTCTCTCCTTCCTGGACCTTCCATTCCTTTCCATTGACACACAAGGTGGGGCAGGTCACACAGCTTCCTGGTCACGACCTAGAGGCGGGACTTGAACACCTCAGGGCAAAGATCCTGTGGTCCCCCCTACTCCCCGCTGGCCCAAGAGCTCCATGAAGCCTTGCAAACACTGCAGGCAAAGCCAGCCCCAGCCTGCCTGGTCTGCAAAAGCAACCTGCAAAAACTGGCAGCCCTTGCAGATGTAAGCTGCAGAACTGCCGAGCTCAGGCACCATGAAACCCGACTCCCAAATAGCAGCAAACCCAAGGCCAAAAGGAAGTATACAGACTTTTGCTGAATGTTTCTCCCCTCACAGCTTCAGCCAGGGCCCTTGCTCTTGAGTCACCACCCAGTCCCCAGGGCCACAGGGCAAAGGTGGTCACTGCCTGGCTTGCTACCTTTTCCGACACTCTAAATCTTTATCCTTCCGGGGCTACGGGAATCCCCCCCAAAAAAGCCAAGGTCACCATCAAGCCAGACTGAGGCAGAAGGGAGGAGCTAACAGCTCTGCCTCAAAGGGATCTGGGTGAAAAGGGTTTTCCATAAGCTGTGGCAGTAGGTACGTGGCTAACCCAAACAACCTTCCTTCTGCTCTGCCTTCCTTCCTGTCTTCAGCAACTGTCACCTTCACCAGGGAAAGCTTTCCAGCCCCAACCAAGGGCCTAACGCGGGTCTGGCCATTCCTGGCATCCAAACAGACCTCCAGGAGGTGGATGGAGGAAATCAGAAGTGGACACAGAGGCTCGGGGAAGGGTCACCTCCAGTCTGGAGATGCCACCCTCTTCTTCACCAGCGCCCCTAACCCACCCTCATCTGTAAGGAGGGCACTTACAGATCTTGGAGGCCGGAGAGGGCCTCGTCCTGGGGGTCCCATCCCTGGCCGGACGATGCCCCCAACCAGCGGCGGCGGCATCATTTGGGCGGCTGGTCCAGGTCGAGGGGTGCGGGTCGTCGGGGGCGGGGGAGGACGGTAACCGAGCCTACTCCAGGTAACCATCGAAGACGTCGAGCTCCGAGTCGGCGTCGTAGAGGCCCGAGCCGGGGTCGGAGAGCACGCCGAGGTCCACGAGCGCCTGGTCCATGTCCTCGGGCAGGAAGACGAGGCCCACGTTGAGGACGATGTACTCCATGAGGAAGGCGTAGTATAGGATCAGCACATTGACGAAGAACAGGCCCACGTAGAACATAGAGGGCAGCAGCGGCGGCGGCACGGAGGGGACCAGGGGGCCCAGCGCGTCCAGGTGGGCCGCGACCCGGGCGCCGGGCATGCAGGGGGCGGCGAGGGCGGCTGCCCCGCGATCCCAGCGACCTCAGCCGCTGCGGCGCCCGGGCGGCCGGCAGAGGGGCAGCTCAGCCATCCAGGGGCGCCCCGGGAGGCTCGACCCAGGGGGCGCCGGGCCCCAGCGGACACTCCCCGGACCCCGAAACGTGCCCGGCGGGGCCCACGCACCCCCAGCTGCACCCGCTCGGCCCCGTCGATCCGCCCCGCGGCCAGGCGGGGACCCCCCGCGACCCCCCCCCCGACCCCCCACCCCCGGGTTGGCCGGCGGCTCCCCCGGCTCGCGCTCTCCGGCCCTCGCAGCGCCGGCGGGGACCCCGCCGCGGCTCTCAGCGTCCAGGGCCGGTCCCCGCGGCGATGTCGCCAGCCGCGCCCCGCAGTCCCTCGAGCCCCCTCCGCGCCCCCGCAGGCCCAGCGCCCATGGCTGCAGCCGCCGCGTCGCCCTCCTGGCCGCCCTCCGAGCGCCGCCCCCGGAGCAGCCCCGCGCTCATTGGCCCGCCGCCCCCCGCCCGCGCTCATTGGCCCGCTCGACGCCCGCGCTCATTGGCCCGCGCCGTCAGGGGGCGGAGCCTCATCGCCCCGCCCCTCGGGAGGCTCCGCCCAGGTCTCAAATCCGATTGGCTCTGCGAATCCCCCCCACGGAGCAGCGGGAGGGGAAAGGCGCCCAACGCAGTTCAAATCTAGACGTATCCCCAAAAGCCAACAGGAAGCCCGAGCTTCCTCCGCAGTCCCCCATCCCATCCCACCCCATCCCCGGACTTGGATATGCCGTCACGCCTCTTCGGGACTCAGTTTACCTGACACAAAGGAGGCGGGGCGAAAGGGGAGGGGGCGGTGAAGTTACCAGTGAAAATCTCGGACTTTCCCGAAGTGGCGATTTTCCATAATGGGGAAGATTGATCAGTGCTTCCATCATCTCTCCAAATTCTGGCTGCCCATTGCGGGAGGGGGGGGGAGGTGAGGGGTGGGTGGGGGATGGGGAGGAGGGTTCTGCATGATGGGCTTCAGGGACCCCTGCCTAAAGAGATTCCCAGGCAAGTCAGACCTGTAACAGTGGCTTCTTGTTTTTACTTTGTGAACCCTGTTTAAAAACAGGACGTGGTTAAACATTGAGGCAACGCAGAAAAGTAACGTAAAAAAATGAGTCTTGCACTCACTGATTCCCCTTTTCATGAGCAACCCCTGTGTATCCTTCAGGGGACGGATCTTCCACAAAGCGCCTTCCAGAGCAGTTTAACAGACCTTTATTTATTTATGTATTTATGTATTTATGTATTTATGTATTTATGTATTTATGTATTTATGTATTTATGTATGTATGTATGTATCTTTAAGGATTTTAAGTAATCGCTACACCCAAGGTGGGGCTAGATCTCACAACCTCAACATCAAGAGTGGCATGCTTTGCTGATGGAGCCAACCAGGTGCTGCAAAGGACCTTGAAATCTCAGGTCACGCTGAGCTGGATGCTTTACATACATTGCTTAATTGCAGCTAGATGCGTCAGGGTACTGTGTTATTCCTTTTTACAGGTGAAGAAATCCAGGCCCAGAGAAAAGGAAGATCCCAGGAAAATGCTAGGTCTGCATGTGTTTGGAAAGCAGACCCGCCCGTTATTTCTCCATGACTGTCTCCTTGCCCCTTATTTAAAGATGTGATTTGTTTATTTATTTGAGAGAGCGCACTTTTTTTTTTAATAAAAGGTTGAATAATTTGTCAAAAAGTGAGAGGGAGAAACAGAGTGCCCATTGAACAAAGAGCTTGATGCAGGGCTTGAACCAAGGACCCTGGGATCACAATCTGAGCCAAAGGCAATTAACCAGTTGAGCCACCTAAGCTCCCCTCATTGCCCCTTTAGATGAATTACAGAGCAGACCATTAATTCTCCAACTGCTGAGGATGAAACGGATCTTCATTCCATCACTCATCCACTCTACCAATATTTGTTGAGCACCTCTGATGTGCCAGAGGGACAGGTAGTTTGTGCCATAGGCAGTGGGGACAACATGGGCCCTTAGCCCAACTCTGAGTACGGTTAGTGGGGCACTGTGGGACTTAGATAACTGTGTGGTGTAGACACAAATGAACGGATGAATGGTGAACAGGGCAGTCTTGCTTCCTCCAGGGAGCTTCTCGCTCCTACTCCAGGACAGAAATTTAGACATATTTTCTCGGCTCAAGTGGGGACTTGCGGTTCTTCTTCTCCTCCTCCCCCTTTTATGTGATAGTTTTGGGAATTGCTTGGATTTAGGGTGAAGCCTAGAGAAACCCTCTGAAAGCACAGGACGTTCAGTTTTGTTGCCTGATTGCCTTTCAAAAAAAATCTATTTTCTAAGTTGACGTGGAAGAAGAAAAAGGCTGTAGGGACAATCAAGACCATCACTGATTTGCTACAGATTGGTTTGGGGGGGGCGCATAAAATGAGGGGCCAGGGTTCGAACTACACACTTAGTAGGTTCGTGACCTAGGGCAAGGTAAATCAACCTCTTTGTGATTCAGTTTCCCCGGAGGATAGTACCCACCCCGTGGCTTGGTTGTTAGCATTATTATTATTGTTATTATTTTATTTATAAATATATTTTTTTATTGGTGTTCAATTTGCCAAAGTTGTTAGCATTAAATATCAGTATATGTAGAGCGCTCAGGACGGTGGCACACGGTCTACGCCATGCAATAGCTATGCTCAGCCTCATCATGCAAGCTAACGATTGTGAGCACTGCGGTTACTTTGAAGCACCCGTCTTCTCGGGTTCCCTACTCAGGGCTGCGGGCACAGGTTCCCCCATTCCCGCCCACCATCCGATACTGCGGGCTCTCCTCCTCCTCTAGCTCCGCCTCCGTTTCCAAGGCCGCCGGCCCGCAGTTGCGCGATGCACGCCGGGCCTTGTAGTCCGTTCGCGGAGTCCTGTAGGCAGTGGCCTCGCGGGCGAACTGCATTTCCCAGCGTTCCTCGTGGCGGCGGCCGTAAAGCGCGGCGGTCGAACGGCCGGTTCCGGCTGAATGTCAGTGCGGAGCTGTGGGCCGGGGAGGAAGGTGGTTGGCGGTGTCTCTACCACCTCCGCCGCTGCCTCCTCCGCTTGTGCTGCCGCTGCGGGCGCCCGGCCGCTCGGGCATGAGGCCGTGAGGCGGGCACCGGGTCGGGGCCGCCGACATGTTTGGCCGCTCGCGGAGCTGGGTGGGCGGGGGCCATGGCAAGTCTTCCCGCAACATCCACTCCTTGGACCATCTCAAGTGAGTGTGTTGGGGGCTCGGGGGGGGGGCAGGCCGCGCGGGGCTGCACGTGGGGATGGGGGCGCCGCGAGGTGGAGGACGGAGAGGCACGGCCCGGGAGGGGTGGCGCGGCGGCGGGGAGCCCGGGCGCCTGGGTTCGAATCCTGACACCGCCGCGCCTCGCCGTGTGACCTTGGGCAAGTGGCTTAGCTCCTCCGAGCCTCAGTTTCCCCATCGTTAAAGTTAAGGGGACGAGACTCCAGCTGACGGATGCAGACTTCGGTGGGTGGTGGTGGTACTTCTCAGGCTGCACAGCTGAGGGGTCAGAGACCTGGATCTGGGAGGCAGGCAGATCTGGGTTCGAATCCCAGCGTGTGAATTTAGGCCTCGGCTTCTTCAGTTGCAAACTGGATATTAGTGACAACAGCTGCTCCCCTCTGATTGCTTGGAGGGTAGGATAAAGGAATGCACGTAAAACTGGCAGCACGTACAAAAGTGCTCAATGAAGGGCAGCCGTTGAAACTTTTTATTATTTTTTTAAATTTTATTTTTTACCCCCCCCTTCCCTTCCTGGGGAGTCTAAGGAGGGGACTATCAGAAGTAGAATTCCAAGGGAGGGCAGGTGGCCCACGCGGTTCTGGGAAGCAGGAGTGCACAGAACAAGCCTGGCAGGCAGACCCACATTCAAACCGCCCCCCTCCTACCGCTCAGTGGCCGTGTGACCTTGGACAAGTTACTTCACTTCCTTGAGCCTCTGGTTCCCCATCAGCAGACGGGGAGGATGTGGATCTGGATCGTGCAAGGATTTAACGACGTCCTGCGCAGAAAGAGATTGATCCAGTGTCTTACGCAGCAGGTGGCCAACACGGGGGGGGGGGGGGAGGGGTAGCTGTGTTTATCAAAGCTATAGGTGAGGGCTTCCTAGACCACCTCACCTAAAGTGCTTCCCCACCCCAGCTCCTTTCCATCTTATCTTCACCTTGATTTCATTCAGTGCCCGTCTCCACTATCTGCTTTTACTCTGTTTCCACTCCTTTTCTGTCTGCTCCTAAACTGGTCCTTCCGGGAGAGCAGAGACTGCTTGTTTTGCTCAAAGCTGTATTCCAGCATCTGGCCCTGGGCCTGGCACACAGTAGGAGCTCAGTGGCTACCAAAAAAAAAAAAAAAAAAAAAAAAAATGAATGGATTGGGGACGGGTGCAGAGCGTGCACACAAACCTAGGATTTTTTTTTTTTTTTTGGAGGGGTGGGGAGAGAGGCGATGGAAAAGAGACTTTTGGGGAGGGAATGACTTCGGGGAGGGGGGCAATCTAGTATGTGGGGTGGCACTTGGGTGGGGAGTAGGCAATCTTTTGCTTACGGGAAGAGATAGGCTGGTTTCCAGAGGGAGCTCCCAAGATTACTAATGGGAAGGAAAAAGGGGGAAGGCAGGGAGAAGGGAGACAAAGGCCCAAGGAGAGGATTGGTGGGAGGGAAGTCAGTTGGGGCTTCCTGTTTGGCCAAGGGTTGGGGTGCTCTGCTCCTTAGCTGTGTCTTTTCTGGCACGGAGCAGGTGTTTCACAAATGTTTGTGAGTCTCAGAGTGGAGGGCAGGAAGAATCAGTATGTAGTAAGGAATGGTTTTAAGGGGGTGACGAGAGAGGACATGGGGAGGACAGAGGCACAGGACAGGATGGGGGTGTTTAGGGAAGCCAGAAATCCTAAAAGGGAGGGCAGCTGGACTGGAAAGAGAGAGGCAGAAGGATTTCAGGAATTTAGAGTGGGTGGATGTGGCTGAGATGGGGAGGATGGTTATACTAAAGGAGGTTAGGCCTCCTGCCAGCATCCTGGCACCTGTAGGCTTTCACCTAGCTCTGCCTGCCTCTAGTCCTTGTAAAGTACTTTAGTAATTATTGAATGCATGTGTGTGTGTGTACATGCGCGCACATGTGTGTGCCATGTACTTATTAAGGACTTCCTGTGTGTTATTTCCTTTAGTCCTCACAAGTCTGTGAGTTGTAGGCTCTGACTTCAGCGCTCGCACCCCGTGCACGAGTCTTTCTGAGTGAAACTGCCTCCTAAGTCAGTTTGGGAAGACTTTCAACTCAGTTGAGTCTTTCTGCCCGATGGGGCATCCTCACCCTCCAGCCAGCCAGGGAATGGTAAAGGTTCTCAGATGCCTTTGAAGTATCTGGAACTGCCCAGGTATATGGTTTAGGTTGTGTGCTTTTGGAAACCGAGCTGCCTGTCCTATGAGGCAGATCAGCTTAATCCATATTACAGTCTGAGGAACCTGGCAATTGGGATACTGCCGTGGGGCTTTGCAGATCCCAAAATGACTTGGAAAAGAGTGTCCTAAACAGCTAGTTCGCACCCCGGTGGTTGTGATGTACTTCATTTGGCTCTGATAATAAACATCTTGGGCCTTAAGTACGGACCAGCTTGTTCCCTGAGGGAGTTCACAGCCTGGGGGGGAGACCGCCATTAACGCCAGTGACCATACAGTGTGACAAGTGCTGGGATCTCTGTAGGTTCAGGGTCCTGTAGGAACCCCTGGCAACTTTTTTGGGAAGGGAACACCAGAGCAGAGTCTTCAAGGACAAGAAGGAGCCATTGTGTGGGGCTTCAGGATGTGAGAAGGGGATCCTGGGGTTTGTGGAGTATCAAGGTGGGGTTGGTGGTTGTAGGAAATAAGGCTGC